AGAGCCTCACTAACTTTCAACACTTGCCAGCCGTGCCTACATCAGGCCTTTAGGTTTGTTTTAATCAGCAAGTCTCTCTCTAGACAAGCAGCGACAAACATTGAGTCTTTTGTTATGAATCATACTGATTATGATCTTACTTCTCGTTTTAATCAATGCCGTTTGACATAAAATCTACCTGCTATTTACTAAACCGCTAGACTGACCAAGTGTATGACAAAATGAGACACAAAAAAAATCAGCATAAAGCTAACTGTTAGTAAAACGTAAATGACACTTATCTTCTTTCAAATATGACCAACGATTATAAGTGTAAAATATTTAATGCTACTTGATAAGTTGCAGAAAGTTTATTTTATTCTCAAACTTATTAATAATTATGTTAGTTAGTGTTCAGTAATAATGCATACTACTTAGGGATCTATTTTATTTTTAGGTGGTATTACAAAAGTGAAATTCAGGCATATAATAATATTTTTAATTGAATTTATTCTGTTCCCATTTGCTTATATGTCCTTAATTTTTTTCACTAATGGTCCTTAAAAGTACTTAATTTCCGTGCGCAAAAATGCGTATGAACCCTGCTATACCGGTTGCGTTTGATGTTTCGATTTTTGGAGTTTAGTTCTTAATTACTGTTTCTTTGGGCATGGCTGTGTCCTTGGATGCCATTGCTTGCTGTTGGATGAGCAGGTCCCTTTCTAAGTCATACGACCAAGATTTCTCATTTAGGTGGATTGGGAGCTTCGCTCCATAATAACACCAGTTGAGCGGTGGATTTTGACTTCTATGAATTCAATTTGGGAGTAGTTTTTTTTCAGAGAGACTTCTTAACACTTGGCTAATAAAACAGGTTCTAACAAAGAATGTTTCTAAACATGCTTTTTACCAGCTGATTGTTGCCACATCAGACATCTGTTCCTTCTAAACTGGTGGACTTGCTTAGTGCTTGTTTACATTTTCTAATAAAAGATTTCGGCCTTTTAAAATTTTGAAACTTGCATAAATTATATATTTTTGGAATCATCTCTGGCTACTTTATTCTTTAGCCCAAAATTGAAAAATTTGAAAAATTTTATGTCAAATGTTCCCTTAAGTGGATGTTTTGTTCGACAAAGTATAATGCGTGGTGATTATATGGAGCTTCATAGCTTCTAAAGAAGCTGCATAATTATATGTGGAACTTCATATTTGAGGAACTTTCCTCATATGTATCTTTTTCAAGGTGCTGCAAGTGCTGAATTTTTGTTTATAGATTATAACCAGGTTCAATGCTGGGCATTTTACCACCTGGAGGAGTCTGCATGGTTCCCAAAATTTTGCTAAAACAGAGTAACGATTAGACATTCGGAAAAGTGATTTACAGCTCTTCGAAGCATCGAGATAGAATCCACGAAGAAGTTTACGGACAACAGTCCAGATAAAAAGGAACGATAGTCTCCTGAATACAGGTCATCTTCAGTAGCATAAATTGTGCGATCATCTGGTGTTCAAGAAAAATTAGTGCAGAAGTGTGCGGACAAGCCTTGTCCGAAGATCGTCATATCTTTGTGAAGGTGCAGTGTAGTGAGGAAAAAAGTGATTCGTGTATCATAATATTTGTGCTCGAGAAAATTTAGTGTGGTGAAGTGCTGTAAAAGTTGTAGTGTGTTGTGATATAAGTGCTTGGATCTTCAGCGTCCATAAAAATCTTAAGCTATGACAACATTCTTTTTTCCAAGCATTAACCATTCAAGTCCACAATCCAGACGGGTGAGTAACTTGGATTTTTATATTGAGGCAGTAAAGTAATTTATTTCTGTAATTTAGTATATAAGTTCACAGAACTGCTTAAGTCAGTCAACTTTGTTTTCTGTAAAGCTTGAAGAAATGTGCTGTTTGGGTTTTATGTTACAATAAGAAGTGTAAATTTTAGAATTTAAATCTATGTTAGTAGATTTTTTTAAAATATCTGAAAAGTTAATGTGTTGTGCTCAAATGAAGCTTATATAATTGAATGTGTAAAGGAGAAGTAATTACTGGTAATTTTGAAGGTTCTAAAGATAGGTGGCATTCTGACATTCATTTCTAAAGACGTCTTGAATATTATAACAGAGTTAGCCAACTCTTTCAGATTAAAGTGTGGGAGAACATCCAGATTTGTCGTACCGGAACTTTCGTCAACCCGAATTTACAATATATTCTATTGAATGGGTTTTTCTTAATGCTTAGAAATCCCCAGTATTTTTCACGATTTTTATGGAACTTGGCTTAATACTTTGTTATATGAACAATATGAACAACAACAAAAAAAAAAAAAAAAAAAGATTTTGGACGTCTGAAAGCAATTCAATTTTCTCTAGATTATATCTAAAACAAAACCTTTTGAATTATATAACTTCTGCTTTGTGAATGAGAGCATATACGTATCCAGAAACGTCGTTCTCCAGTTCTCCAATGGGCATTGTGCTCCACTGCGTGTCACCTGGCATATATTAACCAATGAGGACAAAGCAAGCTGTTATTTGGATGTTCTTTAGTTATTTCGGTCATTTTGTCCCGAGTTGTGTGAGTACATGTGCCTTCGGAAAAAGTTTTAGAAATTATCATCTTTTGTTATGTCTGCGAGAAAGGTGAAATACTCGTGTACGTTTCAAAAATCATACACAGTTGACTTTCCTTCCATTATTTCCTCAAGGAAATGTAATAAATTTGCGATGTGTACCGCCTGTCATGATTTTTCGATTTCGCATGGTGGAAGGGCAGATGTTCTCAAACATGTGCGTACGCAAAAATACAAGGACAACATGAGTTGTTTTGAAAAAAACGAAAAATTTTTCTTTGTAAACAAAGGACCAAAAAGTTATTAATGCAGAATGTCTGTTCTCTGCCTTTTTACTGGAGCACAACCTGCCACTGAATGCATTGGATCTCTCTGCAGCTTTATTTAGAAAAGTGTTTTCCGATAGTGAAATCGCTAAGAAATACTCAAGTGCAAGAACCAAAACAGGTGCAATTGTTAAAGAAATGGATTTGGAAAAAAAAAAAATCTTCAGTTATTGATTGCATTAAAACAGCTCCGTTCTGCCTCTCTACGGATGGAAGCAATAATACCGGTTTTTTATAATTAATTTAAATGTATAAACTTATTCTATGTTTTAAATGCCAATTTTTAGTCCAAAGGGATTCAGTCCCGAAGGACTATTGCTTTCGTTTTGGCATTTTGCGTCGGACTCATAAACGTCGGTTCACTTTTCAAACTGTTGCCACAAAATGTTAGAGTCCTGCATTATATTTGAAGAAATTAAATAATGAAAAATCTGCATAAAATTGTCTATTTTCTCGCATTGTGATAAACAATGGTACATAGAGCCATCGAATTTTGAATGACGAAATCCTACTGCGAATATGGGCATCTGAAATCCCAAATTTGGAAATTTGTTTATTATATAGATTTTATATTTTGTAAAACTTTAACGAATTTTTGATTACAAACTCAATGCTTTAAAAGCGAGAAATGGCAACGTTATATAGAAAAAAAACTTTTATCTCCAGCTTGCGAGACTGTGTATATCGGAAATTCTAAAGATATGCTTAATTTAAATTATTTTTGCGATATTGCTCTTGAACTGAATTTTATGGTTTAAGTGCAAAGAACATGATATTTAATAAATAAGGTAACACTCAAAACGTTAAAAAAAAAGCCCCTTTGGACGTAATTTAAAATCTGAAAAATTTCAGATTTTTATTTATTTATTATTTATTTATTTTTTTCCAGTTTGCACCAAGAATAATTAAATCACTTGGTGAACTTCTTAATTTGCAGCAACCTTTTTCCTTTCCTTTTTATTTGTGTACATGAGTGGGAAAAGAGGGCTATCGTTCATGCTATCAAATAATTTTAATGAAGTGTGCAAAGCATGTTTGGCATTATTATCGCTCATAATGACTATGCCAAACTTCTAAATGTAAATTAGTGGCAGGTATATATTAAGTGTTACCAACCCTTCCAATTTAGGAGGGATAATCCTGATTTCTTCCTGCCAACTCGATTTTCTCTTATTCTTAAAATTTCTCACGATTTTTATGTAGTGTGGCTTAATACTTCATTATTTGCAAAATTGTGATTTAGGGGGTGTCTGAAAGCACCTGGTTTTTCTTTAGATAGATTAGAAAAACATATTAGTTTGATCAGTGAGAACTTCTGCTTTGTGTGTGAGAGCACATGTCCGAAAACGCCATGTACAATTTCTTCAGTCAGCATCGAGTGCCACTCCGTGTCATCTGGCACATATTACCCAGTGAGCACAAACAAGATAGAGGTTGTTATTTCATTCATCTTGTCACTAACCTGTGTGAACATACGTGCTTTCTAGTAATAGTATAAGAAGTTACGACATTTCGTACTAGTTATGTTTGTGAAAAAAGTAAAATACTCATGTACATTTCAAAAATCATACACTGATGACTTTCCTTCTAATATTTCTACAACGAAATATAATGCATTTACGATGTGTACCGTTTGTCATTGTGATTTTTTTTATTTCACATGTTCGTGCACAAAAACTAAGGAACCAAATATAAGAGTTCTATTGAAAAAAAAGAAAAAAAAAATTTTTTTTCCTGTGGAAACAAAGGACCAAAACATTATTAATGCAGAATGTTCTGCTTGCATTTAAGAATTAGTAACTCAACTTGCAGATATTAAGTAATAAAAAAATTAGGTTGACAAGTATGTATTAAAAAAGCATTGATATATGCTGATTACTAAGCTTTGTTTAAAGTAATTTAAGAATATGGTGGCTAGAATATGATTACTTGAATTTCACCTTTATAAATCAAATTAATTACTTCTAATTTTATTTAACTTTATTAAATTATTTTACTTTTTAATTTTATGAGGGTTTTTAATGCATAATAAATCTGAACACACTGAATTTATTTTAGATCTGCTCTGAACACACTGAGATTTATTTTAGATTTGAATTTGAAGATAATCTCTCTCTTTTTTTTTAATACAGGAATTTAAAACATCTAAAATATCAATTACTTGGGAGACATTACTTCGATGTAGAGGCTATCTCTGAAGTACCAAAATATCGGTTAGTATTTATGTACATTTTTCGTATAAAGTTTTATGTGATTGTGTGAAAACTAAAATAACATTTTATAAAAATTTTTAGCCTGCAGATCTGGCAAGGAGTTATAACATCAATTCGTCAGCAGGAAGAGAAATTAATGATGTCTGTAGATACAGTGCATAAAGTTGTTAGAAAAGAAACAGCCTTGGAAATTATTCTAGGAATTGTGAACCGAAATAAAACTGAATTTAAGGAGATAATTGCTCAAGAACTTGTGGGAGCAATAGTCATGACAAGGTAATTTATTTATTATAAAATAGTCTACCTTTATTTGATTGTACATTTCAAACTTCTTTAAGACATAGTAATGGATGACATATTTGAAAAATGTTGTAAATCGTGAAATCTGTCGTTTTGTCAAATATTCAGAAATGTATATGGCATAATATTTTCTTTTCACTATGAAATAATTTTTTTAGGCTCCTCCATTTTTGTTTCCTTATTTCTTGTTTCATAATATTGCTTTAAGCTACAGGTTCTTGGATATTTTGCTAAATATTAAGTCCTTATAAGGAGGAAGAAACAAACAGTTAATAATACCACAACACACAATAAATAGCTAGAAATAACCCAAGGAGAACGTGAATATTTTGCCATTCCTCCTTAGCATATGAAATTTGCGGCTTTCACTCTCAGGGTAAATCCTTCACAGTTTAGCTAACCTTTAAGTCTCGCAGCTAATTATGAACCGAACTCCCTGTTCCTGTAAAATCAGACGGAATTTCGACCAAATGTAGGTCCTCAAACTCTTGAAGCAGTTTTGATTGAAAAAATAAGTATACAGGCAAATGAAGAACTGTGTTATAAAAAAAACATTCTCAAAATCATAACTTAAGCATGCTACATATAAATCTTGCATTCGTGAATTATAAGTATTTCTTTAATACTAATATGTATTACTCTTGGTTATTTAAATTTTATTTCCCTGCGAAAATCAAATCCAGAATCAAGATGTATGATTTATGGATTCTGATTTTTTCTGATTAGTAGTGATTTAAAATACTTTCTTTTTTCATATAATAGTAGATTTAGTCATATACATGTGTGAGGAGTTAAATGAAAATTTCTAATTAAATGTGCATATACTTTAGAAGTACATATAATTTTTAATTATACAGTTTTAAATGTATATGGATTTTAAATGTAACAAAATTGACTACAATTATTAATTAAAAATTAATGAATGGTTAATTGCAACATGCGTTACGCGCACATTTTCAAAGCTGTGAAAATGTCGTTCGTGCGTTGACTACTGACAAGTTCTGCTGAAGGATGGAGTCTATGCTTATCTGTCCGAGGAGAAAATATCTAAAGTTATGAATGATCCATCTAATGGATTTTTCTGACAATGACTGTGAAACTATAAATTATTGGAGTTCTGAATCTTCAGAATCTGAATTAGAAGATAATAATATACATGCATGATAATAATGTAATGTCAGTCTCTGCATTGATCCATTCTTTGAGATTTTTCATACGGCTTTAAAATATTTTTGTAATATTCTTTCGTAATGTTAAGTGTAAATATTTTTAATGTTTTTTATATTTTGTATCAACATTTAGTGTTTTAAGTACTTTTAGTTATAGTAAAATACAATATGTTTATATTTTTATTCTTAAATAGCAATTATTTTAATTAAATTTTTTTGCTATGATTGAAATTATGATATCTTTAGTCACATATATAAAAATAGTTTCATTTCTACGTAAAATGTACATTTTATCCATTATTATGTAATGCGTACTTTCCGAAATTGCGTATTAGGCTTAACGGGAGAAAATGCCCCGGCCTGTAAGCACAGTCCGCATGTAACAGCTCCCATCCTAAAGGAGCGCTATCTTCCGTGGGCTGCTGTCCTGAATGGGTTAAAGACTGCATATCTTAGTGCAATCCTCAAAACCAGGGGGAAATTAATTCTCATTACTGTAATAAGGTAGAAGTCTACCATAGTGTATTACGTTTAGGAAAAGGAATTCTTTGTATATGCACCACTGCATCATTCAATGTCTTGATCACACAGTAGGGCTCTTCCTAGGATATCTGTAGTTTGGAATAGATCCCACAACAATGCTTTGGGTTGTAGAGCCAGACTTTATCTTCTTCCATGAATTCCCTCTGTCAACTTAGTGTTGTATCTCATCTTCATCTTTTTGGTGACTATGTTGATCCTTCCTCTGGTGAGCAAATGGATGCGCTCTGTTCCGTGCCTCCAAACCTTCCTCGTGCTACTTAGGCTGAAGATAGCATGTCCAGCAGTCAAGTGAAGAACAAGCCACATTAGATGAGGATCACAGCCAAGAATCATTTTTGATGGAGAAATTCAGCACTTTCATGTATGGCACTTTTATATGCTGGTAGGTTTTTGGTACCAGTCCTGCTGGGTCTGGGATACAAATAGAGAGAGATGCTTCAAGACTGTTCAAGTGAATCAGTCTACCATGCTGTCTCACTGTATGTAAAGGGGTAGTCCGAGTTTTTTTCCTTACCGAGAATTCTGTTAGTCCTTTAACACATTCAATACCAAAGCTGATGTGTTTCTCTTCACAGACTAGAATATATGCATTTTTATGCTTTTAAATTATCTTCTGTTATTTTATTATTTAAATATTGATAGATTATGTTTAGCAGAAATTTATGAGTATACTTATACTTATCACATGAAATATATTTTTGCTTCGTGTACCAACTATGATATAACTGTAGTATCTGGCGACTATTTGGCGATCACTAAGCGCACTTGGCATGTGTAGCCTCTTATCCAAGGAGGGTTACTGTATTTTAGAAGAGCTGCATGTTAGTCTCAGAAAAGGAAGGTAGTAGATTTCGCTATGCTTGTAGGAGTGACGTACTGCTCTGAGTTTACTATTATGCTTTGAATGTTATTTTTAATAAATGTGTGTTTCGTCTTGTTAAATGGTGCCTTATTGAACCATGAAGCCATTACAACATGCTCTCAAGGGCCGTTCCCACTGGGGTTTATCTGACCTAACGTAGATAAGTGACGTAGCCGACCCATCTCCAAAACCAGTTTTTTCTCAGATTCCGTTAGAATTTTCACCTCGTAAAGGTAGACATGTACATTCTTCACTATTTGGCTTCAAAAATCTTTAACATCATACGTTCCAAGAAAAAATGCATCAGTCCTAGTATTGTCATCCATGCACGATGACAACAAAATTGATGCAGAATCAGGCAAACAGAACAAACGCGAAATGATAATGTTCTACAATATAATTAAAGGTTGTGTTGATACTGTAGATGCATTTTGTGGAACGTATTCAGTTTCAAGAAGATGCCGACGTTGGCCGCTTACGATATTTTTTTAACTAATGAATATTGCCGGGATTAATGCATTCATAATACATAACCATGAGCAAAATAATATGAAACGAAGGGATTTCTTGAAAGAATTATCACTAGCCCTTGTAAAAGTTACTGTTTTTCAGTTATTGTCTTACTGTTCATAATTTTGAAAGGGATCAAATGATAAATTGTATTATTGTACTTAATTTTCAAATGGATGAAATGATAAATTGTATTACTGTACCTAATTTTGAAAGAGATGAATTGCTAAATTGTATTATAATATAATTGAAAAATAAATGGAATAATTAAATTAAATTAAATAATAAAATCAACGGAATTAATTTTTTAGTTAAAATTTGACAGTGAATATAATTAAAAAATAATGTACGTTTATACATTTTATAGTTTTCTTTGAATATCAATGATGTGCCACACCTTAAATTAAGTCATGATATTTAAAATACATTTAAACATATTTTATTAATCTAAAATTAGAATCTCTGCTTTAAATCCAATAAACTGTGTTCGTTCATTATTTTTAAACATGAAATGTGGACAATGAAATCTTGGGGTGAAAATCGTCCCATGCGGGTACTAACGCGGCAAAAAAGAGCGTGGGTGCTGAAGGGTTAAGCACAAGAAGGTTCCATAAGAATACAAATCGGAAATACTATTGAAATTAATTGGAGAAAAAGCTTCAAATGTTCTTTTTTATATAAAGATCTTCAAAATTACGAAAAAGTGAAAACTCTTATTCTGAAAGAATACCAACCTACACCTCAAGCCTGTTTAGAAAACGTTATTCCAGCGAAACGCATATCCAGGTCGCTTCACGACTAACAGCTGCATTGGGCTGTTATTGCAAGTCAAGAGAAGTAAAAGATTTTGAAACACTCAAGGAGTTAATTATTTCGGATAAATTATTCCAAGCTCTAGATGAGGAGACAGCTGCACACGTCACAGTATCCCAAGGAAATAAATGGTTGAAGCCGTAAGAATTAGCTTAAGAATGTGATATTTATTTCATGGCCAAAGGAAAAGATTTTGACAAAGTCCGAAATGGAATTAAACGATCACAGAGATTCCTGGATACAACATGTACACAAGATAAATATATTCCACCACTCTTGAGAAGAGAATGTTCAAAATAAGAAGAAAACAATGTTATGTTTGTGGAAGCTATCTACACATCGCAGGAGAAGAAAGTAACGAACTGTAGAATGAAACTGTAATAAATAAGAAGGGAAAGGATGATCCCAAAACTCTAAAAAATTCAAATAGAACATGAAAAGAAGAAGCCATAGGAGCTAAAGTAGACTCATCCCATCTACGATCCGAATTCGCAGAACGCATCATTCAATCATTGCAAAAAGTAGATGTTTTTATTAACTTATGAGAAAATCAAAGACTCTGGAATCGTAGACCCAGGAATGCAGATAATGATAGTACATTCTTCGCTCATTCCAGATTTAGAAGACAGAGAAGGAAGTAAAATATTGCTATCACCTGCTTTCGGACAACCAATTGAAGTAAAAGTTTGCCGTGTACCTATTTATCATAAAGATCATGGAAGCAATATATTTAATTTTGTGAATACCTTAATTGCAGTGACTGATAAGTTAAATGTGCCTTGTCTAATAACTCCAGAAATACACAAACTGTTGATTAATCCTGCAGGAGAAGAATCAAGTGCAGAAAGAAATAATTACGGAGGCAAAAATGTACAAAGTTTATTCGCCAATGCACAGTCAAATGACAGCGATGAGCCCCCCTGCCAATACTTTTGGAGGAGAAAAACTAAGAGGAGGAAGGTGAGCGCTTACACAAACACAGACTTTTCATCTGTCGAGCACCTCCGCCAAGAACAAGCAAGCTGTCCTTCACTGAAAGAAGCACGGAAGCTAGCTGTAAAAAAAAAAGGGGGGGGAAATTATACTGCATTTTGCATGAATTTTAACTGTACTGCTGTTGGTGTATTTCTTTCTTGGAGGTCTAATAATAATGTCAAGTAACTAATATCAGCATTTATGACTGCATCTTTATTTTAGATGGCTTTATAGCAAAATGTAATTTTTTAATTGTTACTTACTGTGTTTAAGTAAATTCAAATAATTGGAGGTTTTTTTTACCATTATTTGAATGTTAATTTTAAAAAATTAATGTTTATGTCATAGGTTTTTAAACAATAATAGTTTTTTTTTTTTTTTTTTTTAATCTGTTTCCCTAAAAGTTAACATTGTACTGAATGAATATTTTCACTGTGTTTTCATTGCATTTGTTTTTAAAATAACTCACATAAATGTTTATTCTAATTTTAGTAGCTTTTATCTTGTCTTTGTTTTGCAGATATAATAATCGGACTTACCGAATTGAGGATATAGATTGGTCTCAAAATCCATGCAAAACTTTTGATTCCAGAGATGGTCCTATAGCTTATATGGATTATTATAAAAAGGTACGTTCAAAGAATCAGCATCTACATGTAAATGAGTGTCATAACTGGTGAAAAAAAAGTGTGAATAAATGAAAAATAACTATAATTAGAGAATTAGATCTGCCAAACATATTAATGTTTACAAAATATGAGGACTTGTAAGAATTGAAGAAAGTTGTGCAATTTCACTGAAGTGTTTAAAAATGGACTTTGTAAATAGTCTGTTGCTTCAGAAAAGCACTCGAACCATTTCTTTTCCCTCAGAACTTTCCTGTTAACCATGGTAATAAGTGCTGAGACCATGGTAATAAGTGCCCATGTAGCATTTCAAATGGAGTCTTATTCGTAGTTTTGTTTACCATGCTGTTAAGATTTCTTTCTGTCTCTTTGATTTTTGAATCCCAATCTCTGTTGTTTATCCATCAAACTTGTCATTATCGTTCCTAAAATTGTTCTGTTGACGCGCTCTACCATACCATTGGCTTGGGGGTGTTTGGTAGAATTCAAAGTATGATGTATTCCGTTATCTGTACAATACTGCTTAAATTGGTGAGAAGTAAAACAAGATCCTCTATCACTTATTATTCGTTCCGGTAGTCCAAAATCATTAACAAAATTCCTCAAAGACTGTAAAACATTTTTAGCACTAGTTTTCTTAACTGCAAAAGTTCTCACGAACCTAGTCATGGTTATCAATTATCACTAATAGTTCTTGATTACCTCTCGAACTCTTTACGAAAAGGACCCAAGTGATCCAATGTGAACAATAGCAAACGGTCTTTTACCAGGTTTTATTGGGATGTAACAGTACCTTGTTGCTTGCCACCTGTCGCTTTATTCATAAGGCACTCAATACATGCTGATATGTGTCTTCGTACGTATCGTTTCATGCTTGGGAACCAATATAATTCCTTAATTTTGCTAACTGTTCTATCCACAGAAAAGTGACCAAATAAATCATGGAATTTCACTACTACACTCTTCCTCATGCTTTTTGGAATCACATAGAGTAGTCTCTCCTTTCCATCCACTACGGTTTTCCAAAACAGTCTATTGTGGTCAAAATATTCTAAGATCTATAAATCGACATCAATCACTTTTAAAGTGTAACTTTTAATATGTGCAATATTTACAGGTCATAGATCAAACATGGTGATTCAGTTGACAAATAAATCTATATGCTTTCATAATCGAAAATCGAAATCAAATAGGAACCGAAGTGTTCCTAATCAAATAGTGTGCGAACCATCAGACATCCATCTGTCGAGCTGCCGGTGGAGAGTCTATAGAAATTCAGAAGGCGCGTCGCGTTAACACGCAACGCTAGCGCCATCTATCAATTAATCAAAATAATTTCCACACACTCCCCACCTGAACTCTGTCAAGAGTTCACATCAATCTAACAAGAATCAAATTTATATCAATAAGTATTTTAACATATAATTATAAAACAATTGATAAGTATATAAAATGAATTGAAAATATATTCAAACTATAATCACTATACTAAATTCTAAAAAATGTATGCTAATCATCAAATACAATTTGACACTACTTCAGTAAACCTAAACTATTCTTAATCTCAGCATATGAAACTAAATTAGCAAAATGAAATTCAATCATATTCATATTATTAAACAATAAAAGAATGTTTTTAAAGTTCTAAAGGATATAATAATTGAACTGGGCGTTTTATTATTGTTCCATCAGCAGTTTTTAGTTCACAAGAACGAACTTTATTATCACGACCCGAAAAACGTTTATCACTCTGCCACAGTTCACAAAAGTTTGCACTTATTGTTGCCTTCAATTAAAAACAAGATCATCAACTTTTAGATCATCGTAAACATTAGGATTTTTTAACTGATGAGCTGTCCCAAGATCCATCTATCGAGCTGCCGGTGGAGAGTCTCTGGAAATAAGTCCACAATTGTATAACCAATAAATCTTGATAAATCTTTTTTTGGTCAGAGAGGAACTTAGTAGAGCCATCTTTAACAATGGAGTTAAAATTGAATAGGTAATGTAAGAATCTTTGTTTCCAAAAAATCAAGAAATTGACTGGTTTTCAGTGGCAATGGTTCCTTGTGCTCATTGTATACATATGCTCAAAGGACGAGAATTGAAAATAGCTTCCACCTTGTGCTAAAACCGTTGACAATTCTTCACACGTTAGTAAAGCTTTACCGAGAATCTTTCGTTAAGCACTTCTTTCACTGATTTTACTAATCTCTCATAGAAGCCTCCCCACCAAGCCCCTCGTTCTATTATAAACTTCCAATTGATTCTCTCGTTCGACAGAAAATCTTGGAATTTCTTCTCATTTGACAACAGTTTCGAGAAATGTTTCGAGTTCTTTTTTTTCCCCTTTTTAAAAGTTTTTGCGTTGTTCGGAATAAATTACTCGACAATTGCCTCTCCTAGATGTGAATCTTTTGAAATGCCATCAAGAAAGAATCTGTAGAGAGATTCGGTACAAGTTCCAGATGTATGGCTCTAGTGATAGCGCATGTAAATAATGTTACATAGGCTTTTTGACTTCCTTCGATGTATTTTACGGAAATCGGTCCAGCAAAATCTATGCCAGATACGTAGAATGGTGGTGTTTCGTTGATTCTGTCTTCTGGAAGTTGAGAAGTGGTCTGGTCAGCAGACTTCAATGAATATCTTTTACAAATAAGACACGTGTTTATTACTTTCTTGATAAATTGACATCCTTTTGGAATCCAAAAGCGACTTCGAATTTCAGCTAAGGTCGTTGCTGCTCGCTCCTCCATGCATCATTTTAACATGTGCACTTTCTACTATTAAATTCGTTAGCCAGGAGTCTTTTGAAAGAATTGCCGGATGTTTTTCATCATGTGACAAACTAGAATGTTCTAATCTTCCACCTGCTCTCAGTATCCTGTTCTGGTCTAAAAATGGGTTAAAAAGATATAAAGCTGATTTCTTTTCGACTTTATTCGCTTTCTTCAGAGACTCAACTTCTTCGGGATAAAAACGTTCTTGTTCAGATCCAATCCAATAATTTTCGGCATCTACTATTTCTTCAGTCGTTAATGGACTGTCAAAATGGTTTGCTTTCCTAATTTTACCAATGAATCGTTTCATCCAACCAGTTATTCTCAACAATTTTCTTAAATTACTATATTTTGAGATGTCTATACCCTTTCTTCAACTGCCGTGCATACAAATTCATAAATTATCATTAATATTTTTGCGGTATTCTAATTCTTCTTCAGTGACAGGTTTTCTCTTCATTCTGTCGAGGCAACAACTCAGACGACATTCTCTAAGCCATTCTGGTCCTTGAAACCAGATAGGATTGTTTTTCAAATCTGGAAGTTTAGCTCCTCTCGAAGCCAAATCAGCGGGATTACATTTACCGGGGCAATAATGCCAATTTTCTGGGGATGTCAAATTTTGTATTTCCTGAATACGATTTTTAACGAAAAGCTTAAATTTCTTTGCACAGTCTTTTATCCAGAAAAGTGTGATTTTCGAATCAGTCCAGAAAAAACAAGAAGGTTGTAACTTCAAAACTTTATTGATGCTAGTGCCTAATTTGGCTGACAAAAGAGCTCCCATTAGTTCCAACCTAGGTAAGGTGAGCGGTTAAAGGCGCTACTCTAGTCTTTGAAGCAACAAAAACTGTAAATATTTGTTCATTGCTAGAAATTATACGTAGATACGCTACTGTACCATATGCCCTTTTGCTAGCGTCAGAAAAACAATGCAGTTCAATTCTTTCCACATCACTATTACCAATTGCAGAAAAATAATATCGTGGAATACCGATTTCGTCCAAATTGGAAACTTCTTTGCACCATGTTTTCCAAACAGAACATAAATTTTCTGGTAGTTCATCATCCCAATCTAAAGCAAGTGTCCAAATTTGCTGCAATATGATTTTGACTCTAAGTACAAACGATGATAATAGACCTACAGGATCAAAAATTCGTCCTATTGCTTGTAGGACGAAACGTTTAGTATTAACTTGTTTTGAGAGAAATGTTATCAAATTTTTTACAGCAAAGTAAATTATGTCACCTTGGTTGTCCCAAGCGACTCCTAACACTTTCAATGGAGGATTTCCAGCTTCCGAAACATGACTAGATTCCTCGGATTTAGTACCTTCTTTAATCCATAATTTGCGCAGTTCTTGAGAATTGGTGTGCCATTTATGTAGAATCATACTAGCATCTCTAAAAATGCTGACGCATTCTAAACTGGTATTGAAAGCAAGTTCAACGTTTTGGTGTCCTCCAATGATGTCATCTACATAAATGTGATCATTTAGAAATTTGCAAGTGGCAGGGTAGATTTTCTCATATTGTTTCAAATGGTGCTTAATGGTTGCAGCCAGTAAAAACGGACTGCTATTTACGCCAAATAACACACGTGTGAACTGATAAGTTATAAAATTTTGTGGATCATCGAATGGGTTTTTAGTAAACAGAAAACGTGTTACATCTCTGTCTTTCTCATCTACTTCTATCTGAAGAAAAGCCTGCTTTATGTCACTTGTAAATGCTACAGGATGAAGCCTGAAGGCCAACAGAAGTTCAAGAATGTCAGGATACAAATTTGGACCAATATGCAGTCATTTAATGAGATTTCACCAAGCAGTCATTTAACGAGATTTCACCAGGTCCATGTGAAGACGCGTCGAATTACGATACGTAGTTTACGAGTAGTTCGATCACTACGAACGATTTCTCTGTGAGGCAAATAAAATGTGATTTGAGATTCACTATCAACAGTGTCTGGAACTGGTTTAATGATGTTTTGTTGTAAATAATCTTGTAGAACTGTTTGATACGAATAAAAGAGTTCAGGGTTATTCTGAAATCGCTTTACAAGTTTCTCAAATCGTTTCAGCGCAATCGCTTTATTGTCATGTAACTCATATTTTCTATCAGACTTCCATGGCAGCCTAACCTTGTAACGAAAATTTTTGTATAAAATTTCCGATTCGAATTTTTCCATTATGGTATTGTCTAATGGGTCAGATAATTCAT